ATTCATATTCGATTAATTTTTCTACATTTTTTACAATATCTTTATGTAGTGTATCAGAAATAAAATACATTCTCTGTGGTCATTTGTCTGTTGTTTCAGAGTTTCGTCTGTTAAATTGCCAAATGCAAAAAGGTGCGTTTTCCTGGAGCTGCTTTCGGGTATGAGGAAAGCGTGGAAAATCCTGGAAATCCTGGATCTGGGGCGCATTCATCATCTGGCCCGCGCTGACATTTGGCAAATGTCAAAATGTTTTGTGTTGTCGCTGAAACTTGCTCGCTGATTGACAGCGTGAAATGTTGGCGCATGTGTTGCAACTGGCAACTGTGCAACTGTGCAACTTGCAACTTGAAAGCCGGCTAGCGACTTGCCAATGTTATGTTAATGAGTTATTGTCTTCGTGCGGCAAGAGTGCAGCAAACTGCAGGCTTCTCGGCCTAGTCTCTCGATTTTTCCTCGCCTCGGCGTCAGAGTGTGTCGTCTGTGTAATGAAAAAACAATTTTGAGAATTTGCCAGCATGCTGGCAAAGCAAACAAGAGGCGACATCACTTGTCATAACATTTGCGACCCGGACATGCCATCCCCCGCCACACTCGCCCTTCGTATTTTGTATATTTTGTATGTTTTTTAGTCATTTACCAGACCGTGGCTGCATCGAGTCCTTTTCAATTACGGCCCATGCACAAGGACACTGAACGAAATACGAAATGTATAGATTCTTTACTTAAAAAGGAGTAATTGGAATTTATTTAAAGATAACTAGAGTCTTAAGAGTCTTGATTTTAAGGCACCAATTTATTAGGAACTATTTTAATAAATTACTTTTTTAAAATCTTCCCTCTTCATGTCTCAAAAGAATTCCCAACAAATTCAACCATTTTTGTTGCCGTGCACACATGTATATTTATATTTGTCATTGTTATCAAATCGGACAGTTAATTGCTTTTGTGTGTGCTCAGACAATGGGGCCAAAGCAATTTTAATTGTTGCCATATTTTTGTAACAGCTTTAAGTTGGAGGGCCGGGCTGGCAATCATCGGAGAGGGAGGAAGGGGCGCTCTTGGCCCATTAGCAAATCCAGGCAGGCAATTTTCTTTCATGGTTCCATGCTGGGCATTGTTATTAATCAATAGTCGGGCTCCTTTGGCTCTGTGGGGTCCTCCTTGCATGGGGGATCTGGGATATATGGGCCATGGGTTTGGGTTGATTAAATAGGCGCGTTAAGACAGCTGCCACACACACACACACTAAAGCACACGATTGCATGTGTTATGTAATCAATGAATCAAATAATTTGATTTATGATTGCCTTTGATTTGATCCACTCACAACCACAAACTCGCACTCACACTCACTTCCTGCTGCTAAATGAATTATGTGTGCGGGGCTGTGGATAAGAAATGGGATAAGATTTGATAAATAGACTTTCTTGCATTTCGAATCACATTTTATTTTAAAATGCACTGCAAGAAACTATAGTGAACATCATTTAAACAAGTCAAAGAGTTTTAAGTATAAAAGTAAACTGAAAAGCTTTGTTCAAAATACAATTATTTCGCTTAAATTGCTTTCAAATTATCGAATCGATCCAATTTCTTCTTCATACTACTAGAACTTAATGTATTCCTTGAAACGATAAGGATAACCCTCCTTAATTGATGCGAAAAACATGATTGATGGCCTGGAAGGCGAAAGCTGATTGAAAAACCTGATGGGTCAAGGTTGTGAAATTATGATTTTCCCTTATTCGCGTTTGTTTTCCATTCTCACTTGGAGATTTCCGCAACACGCCTTACTGCTCGCTGAGCTGGACCACGCCCCACTCTACGAACAAGCTGTTTATTTGCCCGTCTACTTCTGTGTCTGTGTCTGCATTTCGGTGACATTTTTGCCATTAGCCAAATGTCAATGCTCGACGGCGAGTGGTAAGCACTTATAATAGATGGGATATCCAGTCGGTTGCCATCGGCAACAACAAATGGGGCTCAGGCTCAGAGCTCACGGCTCCAGCTCCTGGCTCCTGGATGTTGGCTGTCAACTGGAGGATTGCGTGGCGGGCAGACGCGAACGCGGCGATAAAAGAATGCCACTAAGGCCCTTTGATTGCCGCCACCCCACCACTCCCACTCCCAACAGCCGGATCCTGACAGCGCAAATCTTCTACGGGATAATTTGAATAATTTCACTGACCCAAGCCAATCACCCAGACCCCGCAGTGAAAGTCTAGCAGCGACTCCCCGCCCGGCTGACAAATGGCTTTTAAATCACCTGTCCAGACTTGAGCTAAGAGTTCAGCGCAGCGCTCACGGATTTCTTTTTGCGTACTTAAGACACTTGGCTGTTGACTTGCAATTCGCTGCAAGTGGAATGGATATTCCGGGTTCCGCCATTTCCATTTCCATATCCCCTGCCAACTTTACCGTCCGCTGTTTATGGCACGCATGCCTGCCAACGGGGCAACGCGGCGTATGCGTAACCACAATGAAAAGCCGTGCGCCGTGTGCCGTGTGCCGTGTCCAACAGGGAAGCTGTACACGGAGAGAAACCAGGGGAGTCAATTGAGTAATATAATTTGAACTTTTAAGTTGTGGAAAATAACTTGAATATAATATTTGTACAATTGTTTTTCCTTGATTTGATACAATATAAAAAGTATTTAAAGTCCTTTCAATGCAAACGTCTTAATTTTATAAAAGTAATATTAAACTAAACATTTTCTGTATTATTTTGGTTATTTTAAAAAAGAAATTGAAGGTAATTGATCTTAGAAACATTTAAAAAATATTTTCCTGTAGATAAAAGCTTTCCTTTTATTTAACAAATAAATAATGACTGACCATCTCTCCTACATTCTCTCACTGCAGGCGTCAGTTTCAGCTTCAGTTTGAGCTCATCAGGAGTTTTGCCTGGATGACGGCTTATTATCAGCAACGGCAGCACTTTGCACGCCTTGCAGCACATGGAATTGGTTGGACAGGAGGGGAATGCAGGGGGGCTTCGTGCACTTTTGTGATGGATTAACCGGCGCTTAAGCTGCAGTCGAGCGATAAGTGCCGCTCATGGCAGGCCATTTTGTGTGCTGCCGCTCACTCACCTGGGCAGCTACCCCAGCCCGACCACCTGCTTCCCAGCTCCACACCTGCCTCAAATGCCACACCTGCCGCACGGCCACCTGCCGCGATGGCGATGGGCAAAGGGAGGTGAGCAACTGTAACGGAAGCTGGCAATGAGAGTCGTTTTAAAATTGAAATGTAATTTCCTGCAGCATGTGGCGATAGACACTGGCTCGGATCCTGCGGAGTGGCAATACCCGCACAGGACACACAACTCATATGCATATAATTCGCAAGGAGTGAAACTTCATTCGGATGGCAGGCACGTAAGTCAAAGTCAAGGATACCCATAAATAAGTTAGTTTGGCCCCAAAGGAAGTGCTCTCTATTGCAGTGGGGGGAAGGACATGTTAGTTGATTAACTTGGCCACGTTTGTAAGATAAAAGAGGTTACTTTCAGATGGGTATCAGTTTTCGAGCAATTACTTTAAGGATTTTGAGGAGATAGATTTGGCGTCTCAATTCGGGTAAATTATAATTAATACTACTTACTAGCTTAATGCCTAATGGCTTCCAAATATGGCTTCTAAAATATCAAAACAATTTAATCTTTGGCTAATACTTAACAGATTGATTGTAACATATTGCTACTTCTCCATTTACTCCATTGTTAGAGCCATCAAATGGCTTGCTGGTTCCTTTAAGAAGCAATTGCCTTCACCTAAGACCCCCCCAAGCCAACAAAGGCTTAATGCTTAATGCATTTCGGTGACCGCCGGCATTTTCCGCTCGTTCTTGCATGTGGATGCATTTGATTGCTTTTAAATTACATTTCCCAGAATCGATCCTGGTCCATAATTTGGCCTGTTGCAATTGCAGTAATATTATTCCTATTGCAATTCATTATGCACGGAGTGAGAGAGGTCAGTTTTTTGCCAATATGTTGCCATTAGATATTCCCATTTCGAGTGGATCAAACTCGGCCACATGCAAAGCAATTAATTTAATTGGATTAAACTTGCAGGGGCAAGTGGTATATGAAATTCCATATTTATGTGTAATTATTCATGGGCCCAGCTACAAATCGAATTCATTTTATTTTGCCCCATTTCGGTTATTTGATTACTGTGACATTTTGCATTAGCATTTGACACAAGCAACACCAGTGAGATGAAGAGTCTCCTCGATGCTAGAGATTCCCTCGGGTTTGGCCAAAGTTTGTGCAGCTGCACTTCCGCTGCGATGACGGAAGAGCAGTTCCGTGGGGGAGAACTCGGCAGAAAGATAAACAAACATTCGGCACACCGGTCACTAGAGCTGGGAGCTGGAACTGGAATGGCCATCAATGACAGACGGCGGTGCCAGGGACAGAATCGCGTGGCAGGACAATCATCGATGAATTGGACGGGCAAAGTTTTCCAACCGGACGAGAGACTCCGATTCCGATTCCTATTCCTTTGGCTGGCTTGTCTCAGCTGCTGCTTCTGTTCCTGCTCCTGCTCCTTCTCCTGCTCCTTTTCCAGCTCCCATTGCTCTCGGCCACCCTGCGATTCTGCGATTCTGAACTTCACTACAGTTGAGAAATTACTTATTTTTCAATTGTTGGCCCTTGCTGGCCGGAATGGCATTTGGCATTGTTGTAGCCGCGCCGCCATTGCCGTGCAATCTTGATTACTGTCAGTGGCAGCAGTTGTATTTAAAATTGGCTAACAAGTTGGCTTCCCTGGGCTGGGCCAAGGAATCCCGGCGTTGCTCGTTTACTGCCGCTTTTTACCTACTCTCTCTCTGGAGGGAGGTTAACTTATTTTTTCTGTCCATCTGTTTATGGCTCTGTTGGCCACTTGAACTTTGGATTTCTCTCTCAGGATTTCAGGTGGAAATTCTTTTGGGTTAAAACAAATATTACAGGAATTTTAGGTGCCTTTAGTATTAATTTTAAACCCTTTTTCTTAGAAGTCTTAAATTAATATTTATTATTTTTAAAGAAAACACTACTAAACACTAAATATGCTGTCTGGCTTTTTAAAATTTTGGGTTAAGAGTATTTAAACCTCCGGCTTCCTAGCCTCACTCAATGGCTCCCGTTACTTTTCATTTGGTTTTGGCCAGCCGCCGTTTCCTTGCTGCCTCTTTCCCTTTCCTCACTTCCGTTTCCTCCTCCGCCTATCTGCGAATTTTTGCAATGATCTGTCCGGCAGCCATTTTGCCATTTGTTTGGCACGCCGAAAGCCCTTCGCCCCCACTAGCTGCTCTTTGTATCTGGTGTGCATTGTGTACATTTGTTTGGCAATAATTTGATGTTCATTGGGATATTGCCATTTTGCAGCGATTGCCTGCGGGGAAATATCTATATGTAAGCAATTAGGGCTTAATGAAGTGGCCCACGAAGAAGACGTTCTTTTGGTTGCGAATGGCAAAGACGAAGGGACGGTCGACCTTAAAGGTTTTGCGATCGGCATTCTTCTTAACCCTTTTAGTTTTGGTTTCTAAGGAAAACAATTATATATATATTTAATATTATTTCATATAGTTTCCTTGAAAACTTACTTGTTTCCGGAGCCGTCTCACAGCCAGCCTCATTTACCAGAAGAAACAGTTTGTGCCGGGCCTCTGATATCCTTTGTGGTGAGTTCTTGCCAAAAATGCCACTTAAATCCGCCTGACCAGGCTCAAAGACGCTATTGATTCCCAACTATTAAACAAATATATAAAAAATATATAAGTAAATATATAAATTATATAAGTAAATCCTACCTTTTGCAGTGGCACTTTAAGATCAATATCGCACTCGATTCGGAACTTTGGCAGGGTCACTTCCACCTCGTTCAAGTGTGTTCTGGCAGCCACCTCGTTCAGGTCAAGTTCCCTCAGTTTACCTTCCAATCTGCTCAGTCCATCGATGGGCTTGGGCAGGATTATCAGCATGGTCATGTTGGATCTCTCAAAGGGCAGCTGCAGGATCTGCGACTTGAGCTTCTTGGATTCGCCATAGCGAAACTGACCGATCTGCCGCATCATGTTCACCTCCATGCGCTGGCGAGGATTGATCCAGAAGTCACCCAGCGAGGTGGCATCCAGGGGAAACCCATGGCTCCATTTGGCCCGGAAGAACAGAGAGTTGACCAGAATCACACTCGACTCGGTATTGAAGACCTCCGGTGTGAGGAAGTTGCGCACAGTGTAAAATGTCTGCTTCTCCAGCCACTTGTTCACTTTCTTTGTGGAGCCCTCCGCATCCGTGTAGTTCAGGGAATCTGCCGTGGCATTGAAGAACTCCTCGGCCTGCGGATTAAAGTCCGGCCTTACATTCACCTCCTCATCCACATACAACCGGGTGACTAGCTGCAGAGCCACTCCCTTCTCGGCACAGGAGCACTCCCGGCTCCAGGTCTCCGCATGCTGTTTGGCAATCTCTTGCTTTTTGGCTGCTCCCAGGATCAGGTTGGAGCGCAGCTCATCCGCACTCTTTCCGCCGGCTCCCATGAAGACCAGGGTCATGGCACTACGGGCCGCTGCAGGGGAGACCAAGAGGTTCATCGGCGGAGCATCCTCGTTGATGGCACGGAACAGATTCCGGGCGAAGACGATCGGACTGGCGCTGAGCGATGGCGCCGTAGTGCCCCCAGAGGCCATTGGAGCCAGGCAGAGAATCAGGAAAACTGGGGAGAGAGAAAAGGAAAGGCAGGTGGGATTTACTACCTTAATTTAGACAGTCCGACAGCCGAGTGTTCTTACCCCATTCGCTTGGCATGTTGAGATTCAACTGAGACTGAGAAGATTTGATGTAAGGCCAACAATGGGTCTTTGGACTGAGTCACCAGCTGGTTTAAATATATCTCTGGATCTGTAGATCAAGTTTTTCCGGTTTCCGTGGGTGCGCAATTGAATATAATTAATAAATAAATCCTGCTTCTACTTATTTCACAGTTTTTAAATAAAAAAACTAATTGAACACTTTGACAAAATGAAATTAAAGTGAATGTGTGTTCATTGTTTTTATTAAATGATATTTTTCATGGGGAAATAGTTGTTGTTTATCATTGCTAGACAGATGTTTTTGTTTTTGCTATTGTTTAGCACTGTTTGTTTAGGGGGCTCGCATCGCTGCCAATTTTTCGTCTCGACTGGCAAATATTTTTGCCGAATATAAAGGGGAAGCTGCGGAAAATTGTGGGAAAAATCTAGGGGAATAGGGTTTGGCATTGTTATTTGCATGCCACGACAGCAAGTCAATAAAGTCAATGTATTGGCAGATGCCTTGGCGGGTTCTGTCTGTGTGTGTGAGAGGGTGTACTTATGCTGGAGTGACTTAAATGATGTCTACACATTCCCAGCTTCCTCTCTCTTTCCCTGGCAGCAGTTGCCGTCTTTTTCTCTGACGATGTGGCCCTCCCTTTCTGTCCCTTTGTCTCATAAAGTGAGACTGCGTTATGCACAGATTTCGCGCTTGATTGCTCTGCTTATGCGCCCGATGCGTTTTGTATTTATATTTCAATTTCATTTCGTTCACCTTTTGACGTCACGCTCTCTACATGTCTAGGCCGTGATGTGTGTGTGTGTGCACACCTGAGTTTATTGTAGTGTACTGTAGTGTGTGTGTGCCATTCAATCATGCATTTGCTCATGCACTCGGCTGGCGCAAATGAACAAATTTCACGTCTGATTGAGCCATTTAAGTGCGATTTGCCCGCCTAATCGACCCCCATTTGCCAGCTGCCATTTGCCATTCTCCGTTTTCCATTTTCCTTAAATTTTCCATCCCCCCTCTTTGGACTTGCAAATGCGTTTAATTTTCAATATTTTGATCGCATTACGATGCTGTGCCTAAACTTTTGGCCATAATGCAATTATAATTGAATTCTTTTGTCTTTACAATTGAGGCAGCCTCTTCTGAGCTCTAAGAACGCGATTACCCTGGGCCATCGAATTCAAATCGCGCACTAATTGCATTTTCATGAAGTAGCAAGCACCAAGTGGCAAGTATTCCGAAAGCGCCTCGAGGCAGGCAACATACTCCGCCAATTTCTGATGATGGTATGGCTTCGAACATTTTCTGTATTATGCGGCTTTGATGGCTTAGGTGGCCCAAAATGAAACAAATGAAAAGGAGAAGGTGGAGGAAGCTGCTCCTTGCAGCCTGGGAAACTCACACAAATTTTCTTGGGAGCCCCCTTCGGGCTATCATTTTCGATTGTGAAACTTTCTGTGTGCTGTGTTGCGGTTGCTGCGCATCGAGAAGTACTCAGCCAACTAGTTTGTGGCCCAGAGCCCCACTCGACCCTCCTCGCCAAGCCGTACTGAGTGTCGTCTCGATGCGAACTTCCTTATAGGAGACCGCAATAAATACGAAATTTTGCTAAAATATTGAGTAGCAGCCACCGCCGACAATGGCGAATTGATTGGCTCGACTTCTTTGGAGTCTTTTGCCGAAATTAACCCTTTTCTCCGGCATATGGTAATTCGATTCGATGGCCAATTGAATTCCGCCTGAAAGTGTAACTAGAAACTGAGCCCGGGAGATGCGTTTGGTTTGCTTGAAACTAACAAATTCTATTTGCCCAATTCTCAGTCGCTCTCTCTATTCGAAACAGAATCCGTATCCGAATCGGATGTGTGACTTTGTAGCTTTGTCCATTTGATTTGTGGTCCATTTTGCAGTTGAAATCAAACAGCAGGCGGAATCTGGCAAATAGCAAACAGCAGACTAAATGGCAGAGTGAGCAGTAAGCTGTAAAATGCAAACTGCAAACTGCAATTGCAGCTGCAATAGTAAACTGTCGACGACAATCGACAAATGTGTTGCAACACGTTGTCACGCATACGCACCGTTACACCTCCACCGATACGGAAGAGGGAGAGTCAGCCCGAGAACAAGACTCACGTCGAGCTCAATAATTAATTGTTGTGCCACACTTCACTGCTGCAATCGAATTGTGCAACGCTTGGCTTGCTCAAAGAGAGAGAGAGAGAGAGACACGTAGGCACACACCTATTTATTTATTAATTAAATCATTCATTGTTCAATCAAACTTCTGGGAATCACTCGGCATTCCGTATTCCGTATTGTTTTCCCCCCAAACTGTCGCCTTAGATGCATTTGCACACGCAACCGGTCCCCGAGCTGTTGTCGCAGGCATTCATCATTTAATTAGTTGTACAGTTTGTGAGGGAATTGTCTGATTTGCGGTAAATGATTTCAATAAATCAGGAGCAACAGTTTGTGAAGTGTGAGTCTGCTGTCTGAGCTAAAATCAATTGATTTTCCCAGCATTTGCTCATTCTATACCCGCTCGCTGCTTTTTTTTTCTGTCTAGTTTGCCGCTGATTTCTGTTTATATTTTTCTATAGCTTTTTACAATTTATTTTTCAGTGCTTCTTCATTTCTGTTGGCTCTGCTGTTTCCGATTTGCTTCGCATATATATCCCTCTACTTCGTCCTTTTGTTGAGACAAAATTGTTTGTATTTGTTTAGGCTTATGGCCAAGACGATAAAAACGTCTCAAGCGCAGACAAATGCTCAGAGAAAACAAGTGAATGAGGCTGAATTGGCACAATCGAAGTGTGGTTACTCTTCAGTTTGAAAAGGAACAGAAAAGGAATTCATTTAAATACATTTTGAAAACATTCTTAGTACATATTTATGGTTCTAAGGGGATACCTAGGGAAGCTTACTGAGTATAAGTCTTTCTATTCGATTGAAATCTCTAGTTTAGCTGCTTAAAAGTATGCTATAAAGCTATGAAAACTCTTTAAGCATACTTTTAGGCTTTAAAATAAAAGATTTGAAAAGATCCTTTTCCTTATTTTTAATTCCTGGAAAGAGTATTAAAAACAACGTAGAGGAAAACAATAAAAATACAATTTTATGTCTGAGCTTGACTCCGAAATGGAGTGGGATATATACCTATACCTATTGGTATTACCCACGACACACTGCATGTATGTTAGTACTGCCAAAACACACACTCACAAAGCGCCACGTGGAGCTGCAAGGACAGTTACAGGCACAGTTACAGACACAGATACAGGTCCAGATAGAGAGGAGTTTTGTAGAAGACAGTGGAGAGCCTCTCCAGCAGTCACTTCTATAGACATTGGCTAAATTTAAACAGCACAAAAACACACCATACACACACACAATACTCACACTCACACATCGAGAGTTGAAGTGAAAAGCGAAGAGCTACATTTCCTGTGCCTTTCTTCGATTTGATTTTTCATTTCCGCTGCAAATGGTGACAAAGTTGGAAATCTCTCAAAGGTGTGTGTGAAGCCTGGACAGCGGGGAAATATACGAGAAGGAAGCCTGCTCTTGACTATTTGTATGTTGTGTTGATTTCTCGTGAAATATCAATACAAGCCAAGCACCAAGGCAAACAGAGAGACGGGAATGGGCGGCCCACATCCCGGACTAGGTCCACTTGAGATTTCCAAGTTGCAGCCGCTCAAGTGAGCTGGCGAGAATTGTCCTTGAATGCACTGGGAAAAGTATACAAGAAAAAGGGATTTGGGTTTATAATTTACATTTTATAATAAGGGAAAAATACACTTTTATTTAATATGGTATTTAAATAATATTTTTTCAAGGACTATATAGGCTAAACCTCAACTGATGCCTACCCAGCTTTTCTTTCTGTGTGGAAAATGGGAGGGTACCAGCTTTAGTGGCCAGCAGGAAATTTAAACAAAGCCAAAACTGAATTTAGCACCTCAGCTGGCAGCTGTGGTGGCCGTTCATAAAATTTGGCTTCCAGCGCGCGGAGACCAAGGGGGCCAGAGAGCACACACCGTACACCACACAGCGTAGAGCAAAGACCAAAGACCAGTGACCGCAAGCCCGGAACCGGAAACGGGGCCCCGAATAGGGGGCTAGGGATGCGCAAAACAGTTCTGTCAACAGTGTCAATGACAATCATTAACACAAATCAATGGGATTAACAATATTTGGGTGCCACACGCACACAGCAGCGAGCGAGGGAAAGCGGTTAGGAAAAATAAGGGAAAATTGGGTGAGGGGAGAAGGCGGAATATAGAAGGCGGGAAAGGTTGAACGAAGGCAAGCGCCATCATTCAACTTTTCCGACACCAACATCGCTGCAACCGCAGACGTGGCTCCAAAGCACACACACTGCCACAAAAACACACACCCTCTGGGACACACACCCCGAACACACACACACACACAAAGACGTACAAATCAACATGACAGGCGCAGGACTTAATCCGAAAATAGTGCAAAGTGAAATGAATGCAGGGGGGAAGAGGGAAACAGGACTTGGGGAATGGGATGCCATGTCGAAAAATGGTCAGCACTTAATTTCCTCTTTCCAGACGCCACTCCCCCTATTTTTCCTTTATTTTGCATGTATGCGACGGAGAAAGATTTAGGATGGCTGCTTGTAGCCCAAAAAATTTAAAGACAAAACAGTTTCGGGCTCCTTTGGCGTTTTGGTCAAGACGGGATGATGGTGACAACAGTTGTGTGGCCCACAAAGCATCCCCGAAAACATGCGACCCCAGGCTCCTCCTTCATATTCCCCCGCACCCGATATCAGCCTGTCTTCCTATATCCTTTATCCTATATCCTATATCAATAACTACTCGCCGACGACCACGTTCAGAGCAGCTGTGGCCAGAACGAAAATTATGTGGCTGAAAGTGTAAATCCAAGGCGGATTGTCGCCAGAATGGTTAAAGATGATCCCAAAGGCGGTCAAGATAGGAAAAGACTTGGGGAAAAATGATGACTTTAATCGGAATTCTGT